TTCCTGCTTCCCCCTTTCTCCTCTAACTACTCCTTGCTTTCTTCCAAGGGTCTTCTTCCCCCTGTCTGCTTCTTAAATGTCAGTATTTCCCAGATTTCTAACCACAGACCTACTCTCTTCTCATTCCAGTACTCTCCACAGGGAATCATACACACACCCATGACTGTGTGTATAACCATTGCACACATATATCCAAAACCTATACTTCAAACTCATTTCAATCCTGGTGCTTCTGTCCCAAGATACAACTGCCTAGTGTACCTATTCAATGGGTGTCCCACAGACCCAATATTTGTGCCCCCCATCCCAAATTCATATGTTGAAGCCCTAAACCCTAAAGTGATGGTATTTGGAGGTGGGACCTTTGGGAGGTAATTAGGTTTATTAATTAATTTATTGATTTTTGCTGTGTTGGGTCTTCGTTTCTGTGCGAGGGCTTTCTCTACTGTGGCAAGCAGAGGCCACTCTTCATCGCGGTGCGTGGGCCTCTCACTGTCGTGGCCTCTCGTTGTGGAGCACAGGCTCCAGACGCGCAGGCTCAGTAGTTGTGGCTCACGAACCCAGTTGCTCCGCGGCATGTGGGATCCTCCCAGACCAGGGCTCGAACCCGTGTTCCCTGCATTAGCAGGCAGATTCTCAACCACTGCGCCACCAGGGAAGCCCGGTAATCAGGTTTAGATGAAGTCATAAGGGTGAAGCCCTTACTAATCCTACGATGGGATTAGTGCCTTTATAAGAAGAGGAAGAGACCAGTGGTCCCCCCTCTTCTCGCTACTCTTCCTCCATCTAAGGATATGGCAAGAAAGCAGCTGTCTGCCAACCAGAAAGAAGCCCCTCAGCAGACATGGAATCTGCCAGAACTTGATCTTGGACATCCCAGCCTCCAGAACTGGGAGGAACAAATAGTCGTTGTTATACCATACCTCCAGACTATGGTATTTTGTTATGTGACAGCACAAACTAAGACTCTCCCCAAGAGTGGAAAATCCACAACCAAACTCATCATTTTACTCCGTGAAATGCCTGTTCCTCTTTCTCCTGTGTTCTCCTCTTCAGTGAAAGATATCACTTTCTATCCAGTTGTCCAAAGAAAAAAAAAAGGAAATATGGAAGACACCTTTGATGCTTCAGTCTCCTTCTCAGCTTCTTTGCAAATAACCACTAAGTTGTATCATTGCTGCATCTGCCACAGCTCTTTAATGCATCCCTTATCCACCACCTCCTTCAGACCACCATTAACATTCACCTGAATTACTGCAAAAGTCTTCTAAACCATTATCCCTCTCTCTAGTTCTGTCCTTTCCTCTGATTTAGTGTCCAAATCACAATCACAGCAAATCTTCACTCCACGAACTTCTTTCATTAAAATCCTGTATGGTTCCCAATTGCTCTTAGACAAAGCCTAAGAGCCTTGGCAGAGTATAAAAGGTGCTCCATGATCAAGCCCTGCTTAATAATACAATTTCATTTCCTCCAGGGTCCCTACCTCTTACTCAACCAAAATAAACAAAAAAATTAAAACACAGAGAAAAATACTTCCATTGAGCTGAATTACAATTAACACCCAATTTATAGCGTTATCAGTCTCTAGGCAATTTTTTTCAGTACAAGAAGCCCGTATTAAATGATAACAACACAAAAGTCAATCAACAAAAGACTAAATACAGATATATATAAAAGATAAATTGTATGTCTTCATTTGGGTGGATTCCTTTCCTGCAAAACGGAGATGGCTGAGATTCCTTCAAATAAGAGCCAAAATGAACATGAGTAAAAGATGCTTTAGTATTTCCCCAGTAATGTTTCTTTTATGAGCAAAGGCATTTTTCATTGTACCTAAGACATTCAAGGTGTATTCAAAATCAC